ATGACGCTAGGGAAACCTCCCAAGAGCGCGATATTTTAATCTGATTCTGGATGCTCTGCATCCGTCCTTTTACCAAAAAAAAAAAAAAAAAAAATTCAGCGTGGTTAGCCTAAACTCAGGGGAACAGAGTCGTTTGGGTGAAAAATCACGCTAGGAAGTTGTTTTAACTGTGCTGTTTGAAAATAAATAATAATTTTTAAAAATAAAATATTTTGTGCCACAGCGTTGAGCAACGATGTTGGCTGAAACAATTGTGACCGCAGCATCGCAAGGGAAAATGAAAGTATATCTACTGCATCTTTGCGTTTGGTATTATCAGCCGGTCAGCTTTGTTTTAAAATTAGACAAAACGTTCACGGGCCAAACAGTGGTGTGCATGGACTTTTGATGGCCGAATTTCTTTTGATGGCCATTAAAATATGTTTAAAAAAAAAGAGAATCCAAACACGGCTATCTTAGCCGAGCAGAGCTGCAATTGCAATTCTATTGTGGATAAAAAAAAATTGCAAAGGAAACAAGCATGTTTCAGGTCCAGCAGTGTCGCTTTATTTTCTCACCAACGTTGTGGTGACTGCAAAGCGGATGAAATAACACCGTGGTGAAACGCAACGGTATTGTTCCGGAGAAAGGCATCGGACCCAATTGAAAAAAAATAATTGATTTTCGCATGGGGGAAAACAATAATGTTTAGAAAAACATAAGGAAAAGTAATACGCCGTTGTTTACCCAAAACAGCGTTGCAGGGCCAAAGCAGCGTTGCGGCTGCCGGGGGTTCAAACCAACGTTGGAGAGTTGGAGTTGAAGTCAATTTGGTTAAACACTTGGCCGCAAGGTTGCCAAGGAGAAAGAAAGACCAAACGAGGACGTTTTGGCCAAATCCTCAATGCGGAGCCGCTGGAGCGGTGCCGTTTATTTTCTCTCCAGTAGAGTTTGGGCGCCACACTGTTGTTGAAAGAAGAAAAAAAAATTCAACGTTGTTTGAGATTAAACATCATTGTTTGGCCAATTAGGTTGAAAGACTACTCCAACTTTTATTGCCACAAACTTGCTTGGCATATGCAAAGTTGGTCTTTTGTTATTATTACTTTATTGGCCGTCAATGCTATTTTTAGGTTTGGTCTGCGTGGTTGAATAGTACGAGTTTGGCAAAGTATGCAGCAAGTATAAAAATTTGCCAACTCCGTTACTAAAAAAAAAAAAAAAAAGCCTTTAAGGCCAGCGGCAGGGTTAAGCTTATTCTAGCCGGTGTGGTATCGTTGTTCGATATCAAAATGTTTCTTTCTTATCAAATGAAACTGGTGTTGGAAGACCATCTTTGCTTTGAGTGAAACAACGGTGTTTCATTCCTCGTGGTGTTGGGGTTTGTCGAAACGCTACTGGCAATGATGAAGTTAGAAGGGAGAAATTGTTGCCCAGACAGTGTTGCTAGTGGCTGTAGCGTTGTAACTTGTAAGAGGGGAGCTGCTGGCGAACTAACAAAAGCCAAATAACGTTGCTGCTGTGGCTAATCGTCGTCGTTTAGGGCACAAGCAGCGATGCGGCTTTTACAAGATTGCGGAATTGGTAAAAGTAGATAAATGCGAGCCGGTCATGTGTCCTCTCTGAAAAAAATCATGAAACGTTGCCGTGTTGAGAAGAACCAACGTTGTTTAGATGCTACAGCCTACAAGGGTGCAGTCGGGATAACAGGATGCGTGTATATTTATTGCCCAAAGGCCAACAGCTTTGCGGGTTTGTGACGGGAGAAAGAGAGCCTACTGCCACTTGTGTAGGCCGACAATAATGAATAAACAAAAAATAAATTTTCCCCAAAACAGCGTCGTTGAGAGCGAGAAAAATCAGAACTGTTGCGGTGAGGAAAACAGCGTTGAAAAAAAAAAAAAAAAAATAGAGAGAGTTCTATTTGGCCAACGTTGAAATAGATTGGTCAAAGCTTGTTCCTGCAGCATTGCAGGGGATGGTTGTTTTCCCAAAAGCAACTTTGTAGTGCTAGCCTGTAAAGGAACGTGAGCAAGTCAGTTGGTGATTTAGAGGCGCTAATAAACGTTGTCGTTCCGTGCAAACATCATTGGCGGGTGCATGAGGTGTACTATGTGGAGACTGGAGAGCAGCCTTGCAAGGTGACAAATTAACCAACAATGTTGAAACGTCATCGTCCTTGAGCCAAGTAAAAACAAAGTTGCTCTTGTGAAGATTTCGCGGTCGCAGAGGGGATAGAAGCAGCCTGAACAGCCATTCCTACATCAGGAGAATGCTAGTGGCCATGGTAAGTGAACTTTTCCATACTAGCAAATATCTCGGCCGCTCTTCTTGGCAAACCAGGTTGAATCTTATGGAAGTATTTTAGGTGTTTAGGATTATGTCAACAATTTGGTTCATAATTTTTATAGTTCTTATAAACCAAATTGTGGGGGCATTTGTTGACACCTAAAATTAATTTGGCCGGAATTAAATGCCGTGTTAATTAGTCTCAGCATTTAATTCGATACCGCGGGTAAAAAGACGGTGTCGTTTGGAGTCGAGCGGCGTCGCAGAGAGTTAATACGATGCCGCGAAACAGAAGAACGGTACCGCAAGGAAGCTCAGCGGTACCACAACACTGGAAACGACACCGCTTGCCAAAAATAAAAAAGGGCCGCGCGTTTAATGGGGGTTGGAGGAGGAGTTTTGATTATTTAATTATTATTTTTTATTTCTTGTGAGAAGCGGCACCGCGGGGAGTTAAAACGGTACCGCAAGGAAACTCAGCGGTACCGCGGTACTGGAAACGATACCGAAAATCAAAAGGGTGCCGCGCAGTTAGTTGTGTATTGGAAAAGGAGTTTGTTTATAATTAATTATTATCTTTATTCCTTGTTGGAAGGGGAAAAACGGTACCGCATGGAGACAAGCGGTATCGCGGAGAGTTAAAACGGTATCGCGGATTTAAAAACGATGCTGCGAGAGCCTGGTAAGCGGTGCCGATTAATTAAAAATCATATCGGGTAAGTGACCCAAATTTACTCAGCCCAATGCGAGCGCCGACTGGCGGCGGCTCCATGGATTAATATTTTTTTTTTGGCTATATCAGCGGTGTCGTTTAATTCAAAACGGTACCGCGAGTAAGCCCAACGGTACCGCGGATTAGCAAACGGCAATGTTTAAATAAAAGACAATGTCGCGAAGGGAAAGGCAAACGGAACCGTTTTGGCGCTAATGATGTTGTTGGTCAACACACGAGTTTGACTAGTGATGGCCGGATTAATTCACTAATATTGTTAATGATTATTTAGGACGGTGTCGTTTAGTTAAAAACGATGCCGCAAGAGAAAAGAAACGACACCGCGGATTATAAAACAATACCGCGAGTAGGCCAAACGATGCCGCAACAGTTAAAACGACAGTGTTAAAATTAAAACAGTGCCGCGAAGCTCAAAAGCTCAACGACATCGCGGGACAAGGAAACGATGTTGTTTAACTAAGAACGACGCCGAGGGGTGAGAGTTTGACGGCGAGTTAACAATTAGGGCTGGTTTAATTGATTAGTATTTTATGATTATTTAGACGGTGTCGTTTAATGAAAAGCGATGCCGCAGAAAAGTAAAACGACCCGCGGCAGTGGGTAAGAGTTCGGTCAAAGGCGGTCCGCTAAGGCCAACGACAGCCCAAGACTAGAAAACGACATTGTTTGATGGGCTAACGATGTCGTTGGTCAAACCGGGCCGGAGCAATTGAGTTGTGATTATAAAACGACATTGAGTAGTGAAAAGCGATGCCGCGGTATTGGTGAGCGACGTCGTGTGATTAAAAACAATGTCACGAGGTTCATGATTTTTTCATGGATGGTGAGAACGACGTTATGAACGAAGGAGGTTTAATCGCTCAGTTTATGGAGGTGAAACAGCATCGTTGCATGGACAAGGTTGTAGGATTTGGCTCAACGTAGTTTTGTCAAGTTTATGCGTAGCGGAACGGTTTCGGGGGCACGTGATTATCACGCAACAAGGAGGAAGTTACCCGCACGGTGGAGAAGAGTGAAGACACGTGGGAGTTTACGACGGAGCAGTTGAGGAAGCAGTTCCACGGAGCGTGAAAACTACGCAAGTGACTTCAGATAAAATCACCGGAGCAAGGAGAGAGAAGGGGGACAACCAAAAATCAACACAGATCAACTCTGTTCAAACTTTACCTTTTCTCTGTAACTCCTTCGCAGAGCTCTCCTTCTAGGAAGGATCTCCATAGTTGGTAGAAGTAGTCGTAGTCGCGGAGCTCTCCACAGGAATCTCCATAGGAGTAGCGGTAGCGTAGATTCCCCAAAACTCAAACACCCTCGTTCGAACGTAGTTTGGAGAGGTGCGAACCGTAGTAACGGTCGCGTTGGTTAGAAGTCAGAGGTGCATCGATCAAATCAACATCGCCCGACGGTGGATATTTGACGATCATCATCGTTTTCAGAAGTCAGAGTTGCACCGATCAAATCAACGACGCCGACATTCGGCGACGGATATTTGACGGTCGTCTCGATTTCAGCTATCAGCGGTGCATTCGATCAACGGCACCGCAAGAGTTTCCATCGCGAAACATCGAATCAACATCGCCGGAAACCAATTCGGCATCGGCGGTGGCATTTGGTTTTTCCGAGGAAACAAAATCAATATTCGATAATACAAAAAAGTGATAAATTCGATACGGTATTCGCTATATTCCAAATACCGGTACCAAACTCGGTGACCAGCCCTAAGCACAAGCCGTGGAAAGTGGAATGTTCTCTATGTACGGCTGTTGTCTGAAAAAACACCTCCCACCAACCCACTTCCGTCTTCCTTGCCATTGTTTGGCTGCTTCAAGGAAAATGAGCTCCCACTCACCTACTTTCCCTTCTTTCTTATTCTTCACGTCAAAGTTCAAACGATTAACTCGCTTTGTTTGCTAAGCTTTCAAATCTCATCTCTAGCTTCAGTTTCTCTCGCTTTCCCAGCTCCCACAAATCAAATTAACCAGCCAAAATATCTCAGAAATTGATGGCGGAAACCGCACTGTTCGCCATCGCCGGGACGGTCCTCGAGCAGCTCGGCTCCAAAGTCCTCCAGGAAGCTGCACTCTTGTGGGGATTAGGAGACGACATCAAGAAACTAACCTGCACCCTTTCCTCCATCCAAGCTGTACTCCTGGATGCAGAGGAGCAGTCCCACTCCCCCCAAAGCCACCAGCTTCGGCTCTGGCTAAAGGAGCTGCGACAAGTCGTTTATGATGCTGAAGACTTGCTGGATGATTTCTCAATTGAGGTGCGGCGGCGCCAGGGGAAGACTACTACTGCCAGTGAGAATATCTCCAAAGAGGTACAAAGCTTCTTTTCGAGCTCGAACCAAGTTGCGTACAGTTTGAAAATCGCCCATGGGATTCAAGACATTAGAGCTAAGCTAGATGAGATTGCCGAGAGGCGAGACATGTTTCATTTGGAAGTGCGTCCTGTTGAGTCCATGGCTAGGAAGTTGAGAGAGCAGACCGACTCCGATGTCCCGGAAATGGTTGTCGGGAGAAAGAATGACAAGAAGAGAGTGCTGAAGCAACTTTTGTTGCAGCTGCCTTCCTGTGAGGACATAGTTTCAGTGGTCTCCATTGTTGGGATTGGAGGATTAGGCAAAACTACTTTTGCTCAACTCTTGTACAATGACAAGAGGGTTGAGTCTCAATTCAAGGTCAGAGCTTGGGTGTGTGTTTCAGATAACTTTGATGTCAAATTAATAATCGAGAAGATTATCGAGTCTTGTACTGGGAAGAAACCTAAGGACGTTGAAATGGGTACATTGAGGAAGATTCTGCATCAAACTATTAATGGGAAAAAGTGCTTGATTGTGCTCGACGACGTGTGGAGTGAGGATAGAGAGAAATGGAGTCGTTTGAAGGGCTTGTTGAAGGGCAGTGCACACGGGAGCCGTGTTGTGATAACCACACGAATGTTGAAGGTTGCAAAGCTAGCTGCAACGAGGGGGATAGAGCCATATGAACTGAAGGGTCTAGGCGAGAGCATGTCGTGGTCGTTGTTCCGAGAAATAGCATATGCAGGAGGGAAAGTGACAAGCCGGAGGCATGAGTTTATTGGAAGGGAGATTGTGGAGAGGTGCAAGGGTGTTCCTTTGGCAATCAAAACAGTTGCGGGTGCCTTGTTTTTCAAGGAGACTGAATCCGAGTGGGTTGCATTCAATCACAAAGGAATGTGGGAAATGAATGAGAATGAGAATGATATCATGCCAACTCTAAAGCTGAGTTATGATCATTTGCCCACACATTTGAAGCATTGTTTCGCCTACTGCAGTCTGTTCCCCAAGGATTACAAAATCAATGTCAACACATTAATACACCTTTGGATTGCACAAGGGTTTATTCCGTCAACTGATCCGTCTGATCGATTTGATGTCGGTCTTGGATATTTTAAGGATCTTCTTTGGGGGTCCTTTTTCCAGGAAACAAAATATGGTGGAAAAAGGGATACAACTCACTGCAAGATGCATGATCTAATGCACGACCTTGCCGTGGCAGTTGCAGGGGAGGAGAGTGTCGTTTTGGCTGTTTCAAACTCACAAGATCAACAGAGCTTTGATTCGCGTTTGGGAGCAGCTCGACATGTTTCATTGGATCTACTGGCATGGGAGGAATCCCACATGGTTTTCTCTTCGGTTGCTGCTACAAATCAACTACGGACACTGATATTCATGAATAAACCTTCTGGAATGAATATTCCCTGGCCGAATTCATTTTCAAATACAAGCTTGAGGGCGTTGGATATGAGTCGTTTTGGAATGGTGATGGTATCAGATACCATTCACAAATTGAAGCATCTGAAATATTTTGATTTGAGTCACAACAAGAGGATAAAGGTGTTACCGGAGGAGATCGCAGAGCTAGTAAATTTGGAAGTTCTCAAACTAGATTTTTGCTGGTCGCTTTTACGACTGCCAAAAGGCTTGGGAAAGTTGTCTTGTCTTTCCCATCTTGGTGTTGATTGGTGTACCTCTCTAGCATACATGCCATGTGGGATCGGGCAACTACGTTATCTGAGAAAGATGTCGTTGTTCCTGATAGCAGCAGCAGCAGCCGCAGCAGCAGGAGAAGGTGAGAGTGTATCGACTGATCAAGCGGCCAGGGTTGGTGAATTGCGCGATTTAAACAATCTAAGGGGAAGGCTGGTTATAAAGAATTTGGAGGAGGTGAAGGAGCCGTCAGAGGGCGAGTTGGCTAATTTGAAAGACAAGCAACATTTGATGGAATTGGGGTTGATATGGGGAGACCGTGCTGCTGCTGCTATCAATGCTGAAGCTCAAGGAAAGTTACTGGAAGCATTACGTCCGCACCCCAATTTGAAGAATTTAGAGGTGGGGTATAATCATGGGTTGGAATGTCCGAGTTGGCTTCCCTCCTCTGTGACGAATTTGGTGAAGATTAAGATCGAGGGTTGTCGAAATTGGAAGAGCCTCCCGTCATTGGATCAACTACCTTTTCTTGCGAAACTGGAGCTTAACGACATGCCGTCTCTGGAATACATAGAGTACTGCCCGGTGGCCCCGTCGTCGTCTTCCTCCTTCTTCCCTTCTCTCAAGTCGTTAATCCTTATGACATGTCCTAAACTCGAGGGATGGCGAACTGGGACGGCAGTGGAAGTGGGAGCAATAGTGCTGCGGCCGCAGTTTCCTTGTGTCTCGGAAGTGCAGATCTTTGGCTGCGGTAGCATCGCTTCCCTTCCCTATTTCTCTACAAAACTGCAGGCTCTGAGATTGAAAGGTGGGAGCAAAGAGTTGTTGAAGCAAATTTTGAGGATGCCGCCCTCTTCCTCATCGTCCCTTCCTCCTCCTTCGTCTTCCCTCTACAGTCTCACAATCTACGGCGTACTGGATCTTGATACTCTGCCAGAGGAGACGCTCCCACGTCTTTCTTGTTCTCCCCTGAAAAGCCTAACCATCAACGACTGTCCGGTGCTAAGGACTCTGTCTCCAACAACGCCACGTTACTTCACTTCTCTCGAAATACTCGACATCTCGAATTGTGAGAATTTGGACTTGTGTGATGGTGATGGCGAGATGATGCAGCTCCAGTGTGGTGTCCTCCTGCCACGACTTGTGGTGGTCAACTTGGCTAGAATTCCGAAATTGAGCCGCCTCCCGGAGTGGCTTCAACTTGCCCCGGAATTGTTGGAAATTCAGGTTATTGATTGCCCCATCGCACTTCTGCCGGAGTGGATGCCCAAATTCGTACGGTTGTTGAGGCTGAAAATAACTTCCTATGCAAAATCTGCTAGCCAATGTGTGAATGAAGACTGGCCCAAGATTGCTCACACCCCATTCATCGAAATCAACTATGCAATTGTCCAGAAGGATGGCCAGCCCATGCCATTAGCAGTAACCGAGGAGCAGGCACCAGGACAAGAAGCTTTTGACCAAGAAGAAGAAGCTCAAGTAACAGAAGCTGCAGCAGGAGCAGCAGCAGCAACACCAACAGAAGAAGAAGAAGAAGAAACATCCGGACTCTTACCGTACGTTCTTACTCTCGTTTTCAGTCTCTCTAGCCTTTTGTTCTTTCCCGCTCCAAGTCTATTAACTAAGTGGTTCTGACTGGATGGCTGATTATGGGTCTTGACATATGAAAAACTTTGTTGCCGCATGCAGATTCTTTATGATGAAATGTGGCATATTCGGGAGATGCTTTCAGGTCTAAGTCGAGCTAGCTAGACCCCCCGCACATAACACAAAAGCTGTGTCGTCCCTGCGCAATGAAACGCCCCTCTGTACTTGAGACGGAAGCAGCAGCAGGTGATGGTGCAAAGCGAAGAGCTCATGATGCAGGGGCTTCTCATTATTGTTTCTTTTGGTTCTGCGTGGGTTTGGTTCCTTTATCCTTTCGCTGTCCGTCTTTCTATTTGACCGCACCTCGTTTGTTTGGGTCCGACTTGGACTGGCCTGCCCACTATCCATCCAATTGTCTTCTCTGACCACACCAATCTAATAGGGACCAGATTGGGTGGCAACAGAATCTGATAAAGAAAAATACATACAACCTCTGATCTGTCTCATTGTAGTACAACAGGATCCTCCTGATTCAGCAAAAAATAATGGGAGTCCTGAAAGTGAAGAGGCTCGTAGCCCCATGAAGTCCATCCGGCAATCATCTCCCTCGCAAAAAGCTCGATACATCGAGGAGGCCGAGCGCCTGGCACATACTTCTGCAGAAGTTCTAATATAATATAGCAGATGATCAAGTTCCTTTCTTTCCCATTGCAATCTGTGTTTCCGGGGGGATATTGTAAATGTTAGACGACCAAGGGTTTACCTCCAACTGGTGGCTTTCTCGAGTAATCTCCCGGGATGCTTATCACGATTTGATCCTCCATAGTTCCTCCCATTCCTGACAGCAGTTCAGAACCATCACCCTGCTAAAAGCACTCTTTCTGAGTATATTGTGATTTACGTAGTGTATGAAAAATGGAATGCTTATGAGTTTCAAGCCAACATTAGTGTCTCACCTTCCCGTTGCAGTATCCCAAAAGAAGGCACTCGTATGGCCTGTGATGAAATAGGTCCAAATCACTGGTCAATGATCCATCTGCTTTGACCTTCAACCAGAACAAGCTAGCAGCATAAGTAACTCCCCATGAGGGAAACAACTCTTCCTCGACAAAATTTCTCAATCTCTCCCTATTGGTCACCCATAACCCTACAAGAGCTCCATCCGAATGGGCGAGCTTCTTAATGGGAAGGCTCAGGAAATACCGGTTAGGCAAAGTCGGGTACCTGGAAAATATTTTGACGAACAAGCACTGATAAAGCCTCTGCTCATCTTGGTAAATATTCTAGAACTTTTAAGTGGAAAATAGAAAGCATTTTTGAAAGTGTTATGAAAGTTACACACTTTAGTTTCTGATGAGCACTCGCATTTTCCCATGGCGGATCAATCAGTATAAGATTGAAGCCGCTGCCAGGATCAGCTGCCACAAACCAGCAGAATGAAATTACATTGGTTTCTAACGATCATTGGATGAACCAAGGCCTGGAAGTTCTTGGCATCAAGAAAAAGCCATCAGCATTCCAGACCCCTAAAGGAACCGGAAACCAAAAACTGAAGGAAGCTACATTTTGGAGTTTCATATGGAACAACTACCAGGGATCAGGTTGTGAATCTTCCCCAGGTCAGACTTGAAGTGCGTGTACAAGGAAAGACATGCAAAATATGTAAGAGCAAGCAAAACTACAGTGGAAAACACAAAAGGATTCATCAACAATAAGTTACCATGTATAAGCAACTCTGTCGAGGTATCACATATTTCCTGCTCAGGAATTCTGCTTCCACTTCATCACCAATCTCATTCACAACCAAATTGTCGAACACAGGAACCACTCTCTGGGCACACCATTGATCAACAATGTCCCCTGAGAGAAACCAAACAATGGGTTGAGACAGTCTGAATTCACTCACTCACTAAGCAAAGGCCAAACATTTTTGTTCATTCTGACCTTCATTTTCGTTGCTCCCGCAAGGTCGAGGAAAATTTATGGTTATATCGTAAAGCGGAGCTTGCCAGACTTTTCCAAGCTCAAGAAACAAGGGCTCAGTTCCGCCGACGGTTAGTTCCCGGCGTTCCGCCGTGGAAGAGGAATCCCCGCTTAAACTTCTGAGTACACCCAGAAACTCAGGAGCTCCGATCAAACATTCGTGCGCTTTCAACAACAGCGGCCGAATTTGCTTCCAAACCGGAAATCCAAATCAGCCCTAGAAGGAAGCAGAGTGTTCAATTAGAAGCCGACGGAAAGTTATCAGCCAAAATTACCTGGTGGCGCTGGTCGGCGGCTTGTTCTCGTTCGTTCAATGGAATAGACTTCTTCTCCTTCCGCTTCCGCTTCCGCTTCTTCGAACTTGAAGAGAGCTCGGTTTCACGGAGGACGCCATCGGCGGCGACATTGGAATTGAAGAAGCGGGAGTAGTATGTGGAAGGAGAAACCCTAACTCGGGAATATGAGCGATTGAGGACGCGGACTGGGTCCATGAAGACGACGGGGACGGCGGAGTTGCTGAAGCGGTAAATGCCGGACTGTAAGAAGGCGGTTAGCTGGTCCTTCGTTTCGGATTCCGCCATTGCTCCGCTTTCCCTCCGCCTTCGGTGCTTGAGGCTCTCGGAAAATAAAGTCGCCCGGTCAGGTTCGGAAAAAACGCCAGAATACTCTAATCATTAAAAAAAATTCTCTAAATACAGTAATTATAAAATTATTTCCCAAAGTACAGCAGTTTCAACATTACTGTTGTAGACAAAGACAGTGATTATAATAACCGTTTTGGTCTAAAACGATGATAACATCACCGCCTTTGACAAAAGCAGTGATGCTATCACCGCTGAGGAGAAAAACAGGGAAACAATCCCCGCTTTCGAGAACAACGGGGATACTATGACCGTTGATAAGGGAAGCGGTGAAGAGATCTTCACCGTTAGTATCAACAGCGGTGAAGTGGCGCGGATCGCTGACGTAGACGCGCGCGGGCACTTCACCGTTAATGACAAAAGCAGTGATAGCCCCGCTTTCCACGTCACCGATCCGCCCCACCCGCGCCTTCACCGCTGCCGTTCGAAGCGGTGAGGCGCGGATTGTGGTTTTTCTCCACGATCCGACGCCTCACATGGCGCCACGTCACCGATCCGGGCCATCGCCGCTTTTGTTGGACGCAGTGACTTCACTGTGTTTCTTGGACGCGGTGATTAATGCTCCAGACTTTTCCAGCGCCCAAACCCTATAAATACCACTCCCCCCCCCCCCCCCTCATTCCAAACCACACCACCATTTTATACTTCTTGCTCCCTCCATTACTTCACTCTAGTTTTGTTCTAAGTATGCTCTGTGGTTGCGGCTAAGTCCGATCTTCCGCTTCAGAAAGAATTACTAGAGTTTTTGTTTTGTCGATACTCTCGCTAGCTTTTCGGAAAAAAATGGACGAAGAGGCTTTGAGAGTACGTAAATTTATTTTATTCTTTTGTGATTTTTTTTACATGGGTGCTAAATTTTAAATTGATTTGATTTCATATTTTTTTATAGATGGGTGCTGAGATATACGACCCTCGATTGTATATCGATCCTGGCCCAAGGGATCGAATGTATTTAACCGGGCAAGATCAACATCGCTCCCGTTCAATTTGGAACAATAATCCGGTAGACACACTAAAATTATTTCAATAGTTTTAAAAGTTTTTATTTTGCTTTCTATTGACTGACAATATTGTGTTTTTTATTTTGTAGGAATCACTTATTCCCATCAGTCATCGAGGGACATGTCGATTGCCCCGTTGGCATGCTCGACTGGAGCCCTATCTAGAGTGGACGGGATTGCACATGCTGAGGCACTTTATGAGGCTTGATATTGACAACGATCTGCTGACGGCAATGGCAGAGCGATAGCGCCCCGAGCTGCATACCTTCCACTTTCCCGAGGGTGAAATGACGATCACCCTCAAAGATGTTGCCATCCTCACTGGGCTCCTGATCACCGGAGATGCCATCATCGACAACTCGAGAAAACCGGAAGATGGTTGGGGGCCATTGATTCAACAACGTTTGGGGTTCAACATGCCGACCACCACGCCCGTCGAAGGGGCTGGGCATCCACCGCTGAATGCGGGGCAAGTATCGATCCCGTGGCTTGTTGACCACATCCAGTTGGAGGTTAATATAGGCCCGGACACTCCTGAAGATCAGGTGGAGCGATATGCACGTGTCTACCTAAGTGGCTTGGTTGGTGGGTTTCTGTTCCCCGACAAGTCAAACCGGTAGATACAAGGCATGTGGTTACCTATGCTCCTCGGTGACTGGGACGAGATCGGGAAAAAAAGTTGGGGGTCGGCCGTCTTGGCTGGGATCTACCGTGAGTTGTGTACTTGCTCGAGGTTGGGAGCGAAACAAGCTGGTGGTGCGATGTTCATACTCCAGCTCTGGGCATGGGAGCATCTTCCGTTTTTCGCACCTCGAGACCCTCGGGAATTCTGGTTGCCAGATGATGAGCTACGATTTGTAGCTAATCCCCCATATGGTTTCAAGTAAGTTCAATTTAATTTGAATTTATTTTAGATATGCAATGGTAGTATTTTAGTGAATTTAGATCTATTCCAAGTAAGCGAATTTAGTGACATTTTAAGTATGCAATTATAGTATTTTAGTGAACTTAGCTATCTTCCAACTAAGCGAATTTAGAGACATTTTAAGTCTGCAATTATAGTATTTTAGTGAATTTAGATATCTTCCAAGTAAGCGAATTTAGATTTCTTCGCTAAAAGCATCTTGCACATCGGCTTTCGAAGAGAACGCCATACCCACTTCCAAATTAGCAGTCGGATTATACACAGGCATGGGCCGAAAGTCAGGGACATCGTTCTGACCATATAAAAATTGATCAGGAACCTCTGTGTAATAAGGCATTGGTGCCTGACGGAACGCCACCTCTCTGTCATCGATATCGTCTGTATCTTCCTCCTCACTGACTGATCTCAAATCTTCCTCACTTTCATCGTCACTGGAGGCGAATGGATAGCTCGGCTCAGGATGGTCATCGTTACCATCATAACCAACATCGTCTTCTTGGTCATGCGAAGTACGCCCAGATCGAAGGGTGTTTTCAATGTCAGCCCACTCTGGACCCCAAGCAGGCCATTGATCACCGTCGGGCTGAACGATATCGACCGCAGTCTCACCATGTTGCGGGTATTCTTCCCACCCAACACCTCCTTCAGAACTACCTCCTCCATAGTTGCTTGAAGTACCTCCCCAGCCATACCCTCCTGTAGAAGTACCTCCTCCGTAGTTACTTGAACTACCACCCCAGCCATACCCTCCTGCAAAACCATTATAATAAGAATACTGGTGAGAATGAGTTTCACCGACCGGCTCGGTCTCGACATACACCTCTGCAAGCCGCACCCCGTTCTCAGATATGAACTGTATCATCATGTTCACCGCGTCATCATCATTTATGACAACTTTTTCGTACATGATTCCGTCAGCACTCATGTTGGGATACCGGTAAGTAATTTGACCAACTCTCCTTTGCCCGCCCGTACAAGTCCTTTATGCACAAATGTCATGGAGTTCTTGCCACGAGAATCTCGACTCAATTTTTAGCATACTGGATTCACCATTTTCATAGTCGATCCCAATGTTCGAGTTTGTCACCCGACCATTCCACCAAATAATAAGCCGAAACTTCTTAAATTTACCCATGTCTGCAATTTATAATAATTAAGTATAGTATATAATTAGTACATTATGGATACAAAAATAATATCATCCAAACCCATAAACAAATGCAACTAATTGATCTATCATGAGAAAACTAAACAAATTCATCTAAATTCATAACTAACTAACTAACACATACACCTATCATTTCATAATTAATCTAAATATCTCATAACATATTTGCTAATAACCGCAATTCACTAAATACAGACAAATAATTACTAATACATCAACATGTAAACAATACATAATTATAACATACCGAATCCGGATGAATTTCTTGAGCAGTAAACCAACTCCAAACCAGCTGAGAAAACAACCAAAAAAACACTAATTTTTGTACTACTTTGCTGTAAGGCATAAGGAGGGAAGTGGGGGTCGGAATTTATAAGGAAAAATGTCAGCTAATCACCGCTGTGGACAATTGCGGTGAACACATCACCGCTTTTGTCCAAAACGGTATAGCTAGGTCGCTGTGACCTAATTTTCCACCTACCAGGGCTCTAAAACGTGGTCAAATATCACCGTTTTGCACAACAACGGTGAGGCAATCACCGTTTTCGGCGGCAGCGGTGATACCTTCCCCGTTGTTGTGAAAAGCGGTGATCTGTTCCTCGCTGTCGTTAAGAGCGGTGATACCTTCTCCGTTGCTTCCCTGTTTTAGACTTAAGCGGTGAACATAATCACTGTCTTTGTCTACGACAGTGATGTTGAAACTGCTGTACTTTGGGAAATAAGTTTATAAGTACTGTACTTAGGGAATTTTTTTAATAATTAGAGTATTCTGGGATTTTTCCCGTCAGGTTTAGCAGTTGAAAAGACAGTGCGCCACGCCGTGTCAAAAAGTTTTACGTTTCCTGAATTTGTATGAATTAATACAAATTCGGACCCCCCGAACTTTCATATTTTCCAAATCAGCCCATAACATTGTTTTTAGGCTTTTAGCAAATAAAAGTCCCTGAACTTTGTCATTTTGCCCAGTCAGCCCGTGTTACCGCACTCATTCCAACGTGATGGAAAATATGAATGGTAATTTTGTCTTGACCCATTATACCTATTTTAGGTTATTTGATATGATCCCAAATTGGCGCTCAATCGAGGTGGAATTGATTGATCAAGAAGGTAAGCAAAGTACATTAAAGAACACTGAATTTTCGCTAAGTTTTTTTATAGTTTCAGGTAACCAACTTTGCACGTCGGGAACTTGTTATTAGCCAAATGAAAATTCGAGTTTAAGGTCCTATTTTGAAGATGAAGAGTTTATCTTTCTGTTGATGTGCTTTGGAGCTCGAGAGGAAGCCCAGAAGTGTGATTTTCAGGTCGATCAAGTTGCTAGCTCAACATGGGAAAAACTGCCGAAATATTCTAAGTGTTGGAACGAGTTCGGGAAGGAACTTTGGAAGCCTCAATCGAAGGGATGGCATGAGAGTCGAGCTTTAAGACTCATACGTCATGAAAGTAGGTTTCTTCTACTACAACGACATGGCGTTAGATGACTGGAATGAAGAATGGAAGGACTCAAACGAAAGCTCCAAAGAGTAGTAGGATTGGCTAGGTCTATTTAAGTATCTTTGATTCGTTGTAATTTTCAGATTTCGTGGAATTGAAAAACAAACCAAGAGTTTGCGTTCATAAGGTTTTGTCTTGTGAATTGAGAGATCAACCTAGCCGAATCTAGGTATGATTTTGAGCTCGTATCGTTCAAGTACTCACCTTGTTCGTGGTCAAGCATCTACGACACCAATCGAGCCTCTTTCCCATCGTGAAAGTTGCACGAAAGGTTCCATCCCAAACACGAGAACAAGACCATGTTTTGTGTTCTTTCTCACAAAGTTTTGATTCAATCTTGAATTGAATCCTAGCTGTGCTTCTCTGATCCAAAACCACCCATCTAAGGGGCTATCATGATCGAACCAATTGATGGGCGGGAAGGGACGAGGATGGATAAGGGTAACCTACACGACCACATTTGCCCCCTTCTGGACAACTTTTACA